CGTGACATGGATATGATGTCCACTGTATATGGATCTAAGTTGCTGAGAAATTCTACCAGCTGACAATTAAGCAGTGCGGCTAGGACCGAGTGGTGATCATGTTCACGTCAGATTTTGCCTTTAGGTTTCTATAAACGGAAGCCAGGTTCTTTGGTTCTTTACCAAAGCAAATCATAGTACATTTATAGGAAATAGTAATCACAGTGAACTGTCTGATGCAGATGGAAAAATGTTATACCTAAACAGGACGCATGCCTGCCTGACCACTGAAAACCATTTCCCCATATATAGAATACATGTGTTCTTTGCAAGTAAACATGAACCAAAAAGGTTCTTTTCTTTTGATTTCTGGTGGTTGGTACTTCTGGAGATTTCATCCAAGAGATTGGCCCCGAAACAGTACATTTTCAGGAAGGAACATCTTTTATCAATCCCTTCAGAAATAACTGGGTTTGAACCCTCAGTCTGTGTAGTGAAACCAGGGTGTAAAGTCTGTTCATTAGTATAGCTTAATCCGTTATACTGACGAAATATGCCACGCATAGGTTTGATGAAAATTTTCCAGAAGCTCAGGAGCCTCGGGACTCATCGGTTGTGCACAGTCCCCGAATCTCCGCTAACTTGAAGTTCCACTTGGACAGCAGATTGTACATACTTGAAGATACTTCGACGTATCGTACCAACTGAATCACGAAGTGGTATTTGTGCAGCACATTTAGTTGAGAAATACCATAAACCAGATTTCCCCGAGATTTAATTGAGTCTCCGCGGTTAACGTAGTTTGCAAATGGTTGTATGCGCTTTGGAGCACCGAACTTTCTGCGTGATATTTGTCCGTATTTCTTCTAGAGATCTAAATCGAATGGCGCTCACACGCTGCAACGGAGAGCCTATTGATGGGGTGAAGTAGGCACTAAGTACAGTACAGATCTGTGGCAAACGAGGCGAACTTTTCTACAACTAATTCTCTGAGTGAAACTGGTGAAGCGTCACAACCATTCAAAATAGACTTGTGTGGCGCAGTTCCATCAAGGCACAGAAAGTTCCACGAGGATTTGTCAGACAGCTTGGGACGATGCAGGCCTAACCACCAGGCCTAACGCATCACCTTAAAATGTATCCATCGTCTTTTTCCGAACTAGGAATACAAAATACCATCCGTACGCCTGATCGATTCAGTTAAATGATCCGTATAAGCCGTAAATTCTAGGTATTTGGACGTGCTTGACATCAGGATACAAATAATGCGGCTAGGTGAGTTGAACGCGACATCTTTGTAATCCTTCTGGATGGTTCCATTTTATTTTTTTAAAAAAAAGCTCCAATAGATAAATCAGAACTCTCTTCCTTTTTGAGCCGTCTGTCTGAAGAGGAGCACAACCTGACTACAAATGATCGATGCTTCTCCTTACAGAAGGTTCCCTTTGTAACTCAGTTTGCAAAGGCGAATGAAAAAAACTGATGATACTTGCAAAATAGTGAATGAAATCTCGTCATTTTCATGTGCGAAATTGCAAGTTGATGGGAAATCATTCTGGAAACGTCTGAGTCACCAGTAACGCAGTTTTATATGGTGTCTCATCGGTGTTTTTTGTGCATATTTTTTCCACCCGAATCGGTATCAGATACATTTTGGCCACTTTTCAGATGTCGTTGCATTTACTGAATTGGATCTTGGAACCGGAGAATAGCAATGAAGTGCTTGTGGCTAAATCCACAGACGAACCCAGCCAGGAGTGTACCGAAGCCTTGGTCAACGGCGAAAGTCAGAAGAATGAATTGAAAATGATCTACATTACGTACAACGTAAGCTGTTTTGCACTCGGATTATTGTTCATTGAAATACAAGTAGATGCAGAAAAAAGCGTTTTTCCGCGGGAAATCGGATGTGGGTCATTTGATTCCACTGTATTTTTTTTAAACAGTTACCGTATCTATCGTGACACAGTTATTTTGGTCTATTCAGACCTTATTAGGAAAGCACTGGATCAGATTGCTGCTGGCATTATCGATCCTCAACAGTGCACACTCTCGGCGACGAAGTGCGAATATGGACACCTTTGTTGCTGGTCGACAGCCGGGAAAAGAATCTTCGGAAGGTCACGACTACTCTCAGCTGATCGAACGTAATTCTCTCCATTAAGTATCATAACTCTCCCCTGAAACTATGTGTATGCTAGAAGCCAGATGTAAGATCCAGATTCATCAGAAATTTTGCAGTCGAAAAAGCTTAGTTTATGAAAGTACGGTTTCCGGGTTTGTATTTGAGTAAAGGTTCTCCAGTGGTTATGTCTTTTATGAAGGCCGTCTAATGATCGAATATTATCCACACTAAATCGAAGCCTTCATTTGATCCACCTCGATTTCCATCATCGTTTTTAGCTCTGTTACTTAAAAAAGAACAGGAAAGAACCGCGTTAAGTTAACTAAGCAGACACAAGAAGACAGAGCACGAATAAGCACATCCATATGGGACTAATAAACAGCGGGATGGCAGGACCGAATAGATTTTAAGCAACCACATTAGCGTTATGATGTGTTTCCTACTGAAGTAAAACACAAATGAAAGGAATATGCACCCTACAACGAACTGGCAAGGTCTTCTGGAAGGGTACCGGAAAGTTCTCGAGCCCCGAGAACAAGCCAGAAGCTTGCCAGTATTGTATATTTCTGGATAGGACCCACTTCTGAGACCTAG